TGATCGACTACAAAAACGAAGGAGTTCTAAATTCGACTGAAAATATATCTTTTTATTAATACGTGTGTTAATGTGCGTTTATTTGGAGAATACTGGATTCAGTGGTTAGTGCGTTTAGTCTAGAATTCGCAGTGTTAGAATTTCGATTTTTCTTTTAACTCTTTTCACTCTCGAGAGAGTGGTAGTGGTCGTCAATCAAGATCTGTTTGAATAGCAAGTCCTATTATACACCGCTATTTTATCGGACTGCAGCCTTCCTGCTACACTCATGGATAGGGCAGTTTTTACCGCTAGTATTTGGTCTGTCCATCTCACCGAGAATCTTCCGTGCGCTCTGGTACCTTCAAATTTCCAAACTTCCAATTGACCAAAGAAAGTTGAACTATAGAAGACGGCGCCACCTAATGTCAAGATATACTCTTTAATATTTCCCATAATCTTGTACCGATGCGTACAAGAATATGAGAAATATTAAAGAGTATATAATATTAAGCCTAATCTTAGTGACTTTGGTAATGTGCTTGTTTGCGGATCTAGTGATTGCTATGCGCCGCTTTATTTCATCTGCAAATTCGCCTGTGTTAGATATCAAAGCGTTGAGATAAATGTAGGATTGGAAAACCCTACAATTTTCACAACCTATTTGTTATTGACTCGGTCAATGATGATTTAGGTTTTCGAACGATTTATTTTCAATCCAAAGTTAAGGCTAGTAGTTTCCATTTTTTGCAAATTATTTTTCATATGATGCATACTAGTTACAAGTAAGCTCGTATAAACCGTATCATCTTCCAATTTCTAATATACCTATGACCAAAAAATATATAAAATCGCGAGCTCCTTTTAGTTTCAAAAAGCACATCAAGCCATTGGTCCCGGTTTGTATTTTCAGTTATTAATAATAATTCATTAGCACCCACCAATACGCACTAGGCTCGCGTAGTGTCTTAGAGTCGATCTCTCTTTGTCATTCATAGTGTAAGTATGTTATTTAGCAGTGTGTATATTTTATTTTTTATTTTAGAATAAAACATTTGATAGTGGCCCCTATCTGACCTGATGGAAAGTATTAACACTTATTATGATTATGAAGACGGCGTATAAGATTCCTTTATTCAAAAATTACAAACTATTCGTCATAAAGAAAAATACTTAAAAATTCACTAGTCCTAAGTGCTCGAGATAAGATTCAACCCTATTCGAATTCGAATCCCATTGCAGGATTGGACTTTTTAAAAGCATTTTTATTTTAAATGCAAAATATTTCATAATTTTATTTTTATTATTGATCAATTACAAGCTTTGTCTTACCTCTGATTTGCCTCTGAGCGCCCATCTGCTGGTTTCTGATAGTAGGACCACAAGATGCATCTCTATGAAAAACATGCGAATATATTTTGCATATAATAAAAATATCGGCCACAAATTTTTTGACTAATCGGATGAAAGTCTACATTACGATTTAATGAGGCATTATTATTTACTAGCTTTCCACCAGCGGCTTCGCACGCGTAGTCCCTAGGACACTGTTTAGTGGGATAGGTACTAGCCTCTATGTCAATTCAGTTTCATCATAATCCGTTCAGTAGTTTTTGCGTAAAGAAGTAACAAACACCCAAACATCCAAACTTTCGCCTTTATAATATTATTATATAAGATTTACTTGAAAATAAAATGTTTTTTTTTTTATTAAATAAAACAACATTTACCAAAAATGTACAGCTTATTTTCATACAAAAACACCTTGTCAAAATACTTTATACAATGTTGTACACAATTGTAAACAAGAGACAGGATGAAATGGAGATGGTACGAGCATTTTCATGTACATTTTTTTATATTTGTTACAAATGACTTAATTAATTATAATATAATATTATTCAAACAGATATTTTCACATGATTTCTTTTGAAATGTAATTTTAACTTTACCTTTACAAAACATTTACATTTAACTTAAGCACTACACTAAAAGAATCCAACCACAAGACCGTGTTTCTTAAAAATGTATCATATTTAATAATTATTAAGGCCAAACATTGGAATTACTACCACCCAACCTTCTGAACGATGGTACCTAAAATTGCGTATTAAAATTTTCGTTGCTATTTTACTATTATTAATTGATAAATACTCGAAAGCCATAACTCTAAATTTACGTTAATTTTGAAACATCAGGTGATCATAAAATGACGAATCTTCCAAGTAGATATTGAATTTCGCAGCAATTCATGAAGGTTTAAAAATAAATGCCAATGGGTGATTCCTGAGAAAAGTTTCATTCAAATCGATTCTGTCTTCTTGTTGTCAGATGCTAAATCGTTCTGCATTGGTTCATCACTTGATGTGTCTACGAACGTAGGTTCGTAGCAAATTGCGTCAGTAGATTTCTCCTCCGGAATGTTCGCACCATGTCTATTCTGAAGATAACCCAGCGGACATCTGCTCTCGTGGATTATTTCCCAGTAAAATCGTTAACAATTCGCTATGATGGGTTGGACCACAGTAACTTTCACAAGCAAAATAATCATGGCCAGTGCAACCATATTTTTAATCTCAAGAGGACAAGAGTATCGCAGAAGCAGAAACTCGTAAATCAGCGGCGATAGTAACCGTTAAAAAAAAAATAACATTCTTATCGAATTTATCTCCATTTTGATCGAATTGACGCACCGTTGTTTTCTACATTAAACAATTTTTTTAACGCTTTATCGTATTAAGTTTTATTAACGCGAAAGCGTATTACTAATAAACAAAATGTCGTGGTAGATAACGTCGAGCGCCACAATGCGTTGATGCTAATCGTGAAAGAAGTACAAATTTACGCCTTTTCGAAGGAAATATATATCATTATTAAAGCAATTTCGTAAACTCAGCCCATTCCTTCACGATGTAGGTATTCTCAGGGTAGGTGGAAGATATTCTCGTTAAGAGTTAGAATATGAGCATAAACATCGCGCTCTCTTACCTTCTAATCATCCGTTAACAAATTAAGTCATTGAGTTTATCGTAATTACTGCCATCCTAGCATTACTACCACATATTTATTGCTTTTACAGCAATTCTGGATTGTTTCAGCCAAACGAAAAATTCACCGCATTCTTTCCAAATGCATTAAATGCTGTCAATTTTACCTCCAACAGCTACAACTATTTATGAGCGCCCTTTCATTTAACTACGGGTAAAGTATTTTCTGTCGTGGGCGTGGATTTCGGTGAGCCTTTCCGCATCAAATTGGAGCCTCATCGTGATACCAAGATAGACAAAGCATATTTATGTTTGTTCGTCTGTCTAGCTACCAAAGCTAGACAGACGAACAAACAAATGAACAAACAAAAAAGTATCTGGAAGTTGTTTCCACACTTTTATCGGTTTTTTGCTTCACTTCGTCGCTTCGTAGCACGTTGCAGACATTGCACGCTGATTTCGGTACGAATTTAATTTAAATGTAGGTACTAAAAATCAACTCTCTTCTCTTATGGAGAACGCTTCTCGTGGGTAGAAGATTGAATTCAAATTCAATCCTCCATCGGCTCCCAATTTGGGAGATAGAAATCAAAGCAGCTAAAACTTGCTTCTATAGGGTTGTGGGCGATCAAGTCTTAACCTTCGCAGAGCTAACTACAATCTTCATCCGAATCGACTCCGTTTTGAATTCAATACTTTTCTGACCTGTTGGTACTCATTCTAATGATTTGTCTGCGTTGAACTCGGATCATTTTTTAACTTTAGAACCATGAACAGTGGTTCCCGATGAAGATGTCTCTTTAATCAATATTAATCGGCTTCGTCGGAAGCAGCTGTTACAATCATTTCATCAAACACTGTACGAACGAATGACGAACAAATCCTTTAAGTGTGTCTGCGTGTATTTCCTAATTCATGTGATGTGAAAACTGCGATAACTCCATAGTGTCCGATCGAGATGGGTTTCGTCATGGATCTTCTCAAGGTACCTGGGTGCATTATAGTTTGTTTCTGCATATCTTTCAACCATATCTGAATATCGATTCTCATAGGCAGATCAATCCAGATCTGAGGCAGGTGTAGTTGAAAGCCATCAATCGTTTTCTTTTGTGGTGCGTCTACTACAATCGTAAATATTTGCCTCATGTATTCATTCCATATTACAATAATTTACCTTTATAAATTTCAACTTCTTGTTATTAGTTATCATAGAACCATAAGTATATTACAATTATGATAAAAGCAAAATTACACTTACTTTAAATATTAAATGATCAAAATTAGTTGAAACGTTTCACAAGAAAAAATATTAGTTCAAAACTATATAATTGAATTCTATTTTATTTAACATTTGCTATTCTTTTGCACATTTAACTTGCCTTTTTAATATATGTATTTTTTAATCATGACAATTGTAATTACTTGGATTATTATTTTAAGTGTTATCCAATAAGTTACCAATGATTGGATAAATAGTTTATCTGTCGATAATTTAATGTTTTCTGTTGACGATGCTTATCTTGCAAGCTTTTAGTTGTGTTATAAGTTCTGTCATATCTGTTTGTTGTTTTAATTTAAATAGAAAGAGAGGCACATTTTAATATCCACGATCGAATATATTAATTTAGAAATGATTTAGGCCATAATGAATATTATAATAAAAATTAGGTTATTTTAAAATGTAATATGCATATGAATATATTTGATGTTAAATAAATAAAAAATAGAATCACATATTTATTTTAAAAGTAATTACAGTATGTATTTAAATAAAAATAGATGAAAAAAAATCTTATCATAGTTTACAAAATGAAAAATTGTACTGAAAACAATCTTTAACTTACAATTTTTTATACTAAATATAAAAAAAAATTTAAAGGACTTATCTTATTCTTAATGAAAAATGCCAAAAAAATCCACTTAGTCTGGTCGCCCAGATTGCGAAAGCTCATGGGTTCGGATCCCATCTCTGGGTGCCAGGGATCAAATGGATTTCTTAAGCTTTTTCATTAAGAATTTTTTCAATATAGCATTGTGAATGAGAAATTGATCAAATATAATAAGACAAATCTTTCTCACCGTTATTATATTAGTTTCATTTTAAAATGTCTCTTATTTAACTTTTAAATGAATGCAGTCTTAGAAATGCTCATACCTCATTCCAAATTAAATTTTGATGATGTTTTGACTCGTAATTGCACGAAACGAATCCAATTTACATTCATAAATCTATTTAAACGTTAACTCGGTAATTTACAACATTTACGGTGAATACAATCACATTATTGTTTGAATAAATGTTTAAGTGCTCATAGAATTAATCCCATTCCATAAACTTCAGTGGTTTATTCGAAGGGACATTAGTCTGTATCTCAATTACATAGAATATATGACATAACCCTACAATTACTTAAACCTCTAAGTGAAGAAAAATGCTAAACAACACCATAATACTACACTTAAATTAAAAGACAGTCTATACGCTGTATTCGTTTCTTGAAATCTATATGTTTTCATTTCGTTTTGAATCGGTATCACAGGATCAACAATAAATGTTGGAGCTTCGGTGGTAGTTTCCGCATCTCTCAAGCATGGTAGATTCTCCGGTGGGATTTTCAATACGAATCTCTTTGTTACTTTTTTAGTAACAGGTATCCCGTTGCTTTGTTCCTTATTTAGCTCTTCAGGTATAGTTTTTTTCTCAGTTATGTTCATTTTGTCGTTTAGTGTTTCAATAGTTATACCAGCATGTAAAATTTCCTGATTAAATTTTATTTTATTCTCAATAACGTCAGACATCTTATTATAAGCAGAACTCACTATCGGTGGGTCCATTTTACAAGTAACACTCTCCAATGACTGTCTTGTATTTTGACTCTTTGTATCATTTCGCAATAAATGCATCCATTTCAGTCTACAGTCACACACGAAGTTGTTTTCTGTAAAAAAGAAAAACATAACATATTACTGTGCAGTTATGATATCCACATTTTCGTTTAAATGAATGAGTTCTAAATTATGAAAATTATTTAGTTAATATCATCTAACCAATTTCAAAGTATTTTAAAATTTAAATTCACACTTCTTCATACATTTACTTCTCCATTCATTTACTGAGTATTTTAATATAATCCTAAAGAAGCTCAGAGGTATCATAAAAGAACAAACTTCCTAAGTATCTTAAAGTTAATAATAGCGCCTGTGCTTCCACTCATTTAATATTCAACGTATGTTTTAAGTACATGAAACTCCATATGATATAATATTAAATATTCATTATTACCTTCGAGCAGCAAATTGCTGTTCTGTGGCTTCAAGTTGTCCAATATAGGTTTTATGTTGTCAAAAGTTAATGCGTGCAGTTCATTCGAACGTAAATCTAGGGAACTTAGACCCCTTACTCCTTCAAATAGGTGTGCCGGGAGCGTAACCAGTTTATTATCATCCAGGGACAGTTTTCGGAGTTGAGACAAACCGTCGAAAGCCCTTTCTGAAATGTACTTCAAGTCGTTTTTACCGAGCAACAGTTCCTGTAAGTTCCACAGTTCGGCGAAGGTATATTCAGTCAGATTGTAAATGCGGTTTCGTCTCAGATCCAATTTCCGCAAGTTGGCCAATCCATCAAACGTGCGGCGCCTTAAATGGATTATGTTGTTTTTATTCAAGTCCAATTCCAATAGATTGAACGTGTGCAAAAACGCCCCGTCTCTTATAGACGATATGTTATTCTTAGTGAAGACGAGTTTGTGTAACTTCGGTAAATCAAAGAACACCTCTGTACTGATCTCAAGAATCATGTTGTCTTCCAGATTTATTAGTGTTATATTTGGAAGATGAGCAAAAGAGTATTGTTGTAAGTTTTCTATCTGATTTTGAGACAGTGTTATATCGGTTAAGTTTGTGAGATTGGCAAATGCGAACGATGTTACATCAGCTATATTCCCGTATCTTATATTAATGGAGCTGAGGTTTTTGAGAAAGTGAAGTGCTTTTGTTGGGACGTAACCCAATGCACCATCGACGCGAACATTAAAAGACAAAGTTTGTAAAGTTGGCTGCGAAGCAAAACTTTGCCAGATTAGATCGTCCCGTGGTATTCCGCCATTAAATACCCAGCATTCCGCTTTAGTTGCATTCCTTGGCTCTCTAGTGTTTTCACAATAGCAATGGACTTTGGAATCACGGTCGCTGACGTCACAAATGTTCTTTTGAAATCCCCCAGTTTTATCTTTGGGCCGTCTCTTGTTGTTGTCTTTTGCTTGGACGTTAATTGACATTTCGGTAACAAGGGCGAAAGTGATCAGGATGTAGATTACTCCCGCGATCCGCCTCTCCATTTTCATTTTATCTGAAACAACGAAGTCATTAAGTTTAAACGAGGAATTAGAATTAACAATGTTTTGCGTTCACGTTCTTAGATTGCGCGACGAATTTGGTCTTTGAAATCACAGCTCACATTAATATTTATGTTGTATATTTTGAGCAGTTAACATTCAATTATTTATTTAAAATAATTTGTAAAACATTTGCGATGCTTAATATTTTTATATCTCTTAATTTACTGTAAAAAATAATTTATATATTTCTTTTGTATTCACGGGCACTATTTATAAATGAAACAATTTTAACGATTTTATTGCATTTGTACTCGTTACAAGTAGTTTCATATATAATATTTCTTTTATTAAAGTTTTAAAGCAATGTTTTAAGAATGATTTGCCTGAGTTTATCGACTTTTATTTACTACAACTATTGTGTTAAGAAAGTAACATAGGTATTGATTTGTCTAGTTTGATATGTTTTATAGTATTTAAGTATTCAGTGCAATTGATGGGTCGTAGGGCATGTAAACAAAGCGTTAGCTCCCTTTGAAGATGTTGGTACCAACTGCGGTGACAGTGTAATTTGAAGAGCTAAAGCATCTATTGTTGTGTGCGTCTACACTGTCGTAATCCAAATGAGTTTCAAATTATTAACATGTTGAGGATTTAGAGCGACAAATACATAGACAGTAATTGCTTAATTAGTGATTGTGGTTTAGTGAAGATTTTGTTATTAAGGTTGGTGTTAACGCTTTGTGGGAAGTTCTGTTTTGTTTGTTAATGCAAAAACACAGATAGAATACATAACACAAATGGTTTTTTGGATCAATAAACTTTAAGTCTCGCTAAGGAACTCGAAATGAAGTGCTACCAGCCCTGTTTTAACGATCGTTCCTTAATTAATAATATATATTAATATTATGAAACATAGATCTAATAAGATTATGATAACATCACATACAATGCACTTATCCTATATAAAGGACATATTAACCACAATACCCTATTCATTTCCCATATCGACCAGACTAGGAATCGAACAGATTAGGGGACATCTTGGAACCAATGTGTGAGACACTTGAGTGGTCGATTTTCCTGGGGACGCCGTATAAATAATATTATTTGTAAAGGTTTTAATAGAATAAAGAATAAAATAATCAAATTAAATTATATTTTCTAATATTTTTTAGTACTAAAAATTTTTTTCTAGGTCTACTGATGAATAACTTTAAAGGCTATATGTTGGATTTAGTACGTGGCGGTTTATTTTAATTTTACAAACACCTTAAACCTATGCATCTCCCATATTTATCACACATGCGTACTACAACTATGATGTGTTACAACCACTTTTTTTCATGTAAAGACTTCCGCGCTGGACGTTAAGTTTCTTCGAAACGTTTTTTATTGTTCGTGATCGCTTAATAATTTTATATAATTAAAGTATTTAAACCTCTACAAAGTGGGCTGATTAAGGACTAAGAAGGAGAGGAATCAAGGTACGTGTGCTTGTTCCAATCACTTTTGCTGTTCTTTGGCCTTCATTCTTTATCCAAATTATAAGGTATTTGCAAGGAACATTTTGATAATAATTGTCTTAGATAAATATTACATATTAAGGTTTCCCTTTGCTAATAATCGTTTAACATTGAGTCCATTTTTTATAACCCACGCCTAGGGTTCCATCCATCTCAACAAGTCTCTAGAATAGATTTTTATTTATTCTATTCCCGCTCCAGGAATGCTGGTAAAGGTGCCAGCACTACATTAGGATTTTGTGAAATTATGAATGCAGAATGCGTTATTATAATCAACAAAAAAAAAGCAAAAAATCAATCTCTTGACTAGACTTCTAGATTAAAAAATAGGCAAATTGTTGAATCTCTTTTCATCCACAGACAAATCAAGGAAACATCGATCTATATAAAGAAGACGTAAAATCCCATCTCTTCCGCAACCTCCAACCTTAGAAACATTTTAGGCTTGCACCCCTCGGATTATTTGCAAACAAACGACGCTCATTCAAAGATTTAATCCTACAAGTGGCCCATCAATCCACATAACTGTACGAAATAATATCAAGAGAATCACCCCGCTCCCTTACAAATAGTCCCCGAGGGTACGAAGAGAAACAAAAAGTCGAAATTTAAATTCAGTGGTATAGAAACAAAACGTAACACTACGATTATGAAGATATTAAGTGACGTTAAAAAAATTGAGTTATTTTTTTAAAGCCGTGAAGATCTAAAATGAAATGAAATATAATTATTCACAGATAATAATAGTGAACGAAATAATAAAAGAGAATACATAATATACAAAAAAAGAAACTAAATTAGCACAGTGATAAAAAAGATTTTTGACCAAGAATATGGAGTGAGAATTAAAAAAAAACGAGGATAAGGTGGATATAAATGTTAAAAAATGGCGACTAAGAAACATAAAAGCAGACTTTTAGCGTAGAAGTTAAAAAAAATAATAATTGGATTACCTACGTCGAAAACCGCCCAAGTGCGAGTCGGACTCGATCGCGGTTCCGTACCATTATCCATTAAAAAGTTTGTTGTTTTCTATGCAGTTGTTCCAAATTTTCGAGTTAAATACGATTGGTCGACTTTTACTCGTAAACTTGTAAAGTTTGTTATTCCGAAACAATTGATCGTCGTACACAGCACCGTTACAGCGTTACAGAGTAGTGGTTCAATCTAATAAAATTATGAACACTATTTTTGATTTTGATTTTTTTTTTTGATTTTGCTGCATTTGATGCTGTATTTTAAAGGAATAGATACTTCTTCTTCTGTCGTGTCTGTTCCCTTTATTTGGGGTAGGCCTTCCTCGGTAGTAGGACACGACGCTTTTCTGCAAATATGAATATTAAAATTTTGTGACTAAGTAGGTAAGCGAAATGCATAGATTAATCCAGAGCACATATTGTTTTATTTTAATACAAATGCCATGACACCGTTTCCAAAAGCCCGTTTGTGTTTAAGTTCAGAGCCAAGATCTTGATAAAAAGCAACTGAAGCCTCCCGTGATATAAGAGATTTATTACTGAAAACCTCTTGAGAGCTGCAGATATATTCTTGCGAGTAAAGAGTTAGTAGGTTGCTGTCTGTCACACCAACGCGTATCTGACTAAATTATTTAAGTAAAATTTATCATGAAATGTAAATTTTCGTTCGCGATATATACAAATGGATTGAATGGAAATTTTGTTAGAATACCTAATGACGAATATGGCGGCGAGATTGAATATTTCATGACTTTTGAATTGACTGAGAAATCTTGGCTTGAAACTTCATCAACATTAGTGATTGAAGCTTTAAAACTTTGGAATAATCTTTTGATTTGTTAAAATATGGGTAAAATGCTGATTATATAATAAAATGAAACTTTGTAAAAGAGCTAACATACTATTACGGAGCGCAGTGGCGCGATGGTTCGTATACCCGTTACTAGATGGCATTACGTGTCATTTAAATCGCGCTAACATCGTCAAAAGTACGTATATCATAGAGGAATACGAAAGAAAGTAAAAAAGACGGAGTGCCATTCTAGAACTTTTCTGTAATGCCTCGAATATACCGGTTGGGGCCAATCTAGAATGTGTAGGTTCTAACCTTGAACATTCTAGATGTGGTATCGGTTCAGTGACTAGCGAACTAAATACGAGATCAATACAAAACGAAACTCGAAGTGATAACTAATGAAGTGAATTATCTGAACAATAAGTGTTGTGAAGTAAAAGTGAGTAGTGACGACAAATAATGAAGTTGAAGTGTGTATTTTGTTCTTGGATTATTTTTTGTAAATAAAGAGTCGGCTTGTGAATTCAATTAGCGTTGATTTATTTTTATCCCGAACCATAAGTCGTAACGATACTGACGCATAGCGCTTAATGGATCATTTATTAATGTTATAAAGTGTAAATATTGATAATGAGAAGTTTATTTTTAAAACATGAGAATAATTTTCTAATTTTGATAGAAAATTTTGTGACAATTCAATCATTATTAATGGGTCTATTTTGCCACCAAACGGTAATATTCTTTGGTATCAATGGCTTAATTATGTAAAAATAAAACAAAAATAACAGGTTAAATTGAAAAAAAGATTAAAAATTGTTTAAAAAGTACCCACTTTTTCAATGTAAAAAACAGTATGTATGTAAGAAAATATTTTAATGTAAAAAAATATTTATATATATATAAATAGATAAGTTGTTAAATAATATACCTATGAACATGATAAAAGAACCCGAAATCAATCCGTTATTAACAATAGAAACAAACACGTAAAAATGGAGCGACCCGAAGTAAGAATTGTTTGATCGGGCCAAACCTCCTTTCAACCTTCTGCAAATCCCGAGCGCCGACCCACCGCACACCATAGTATCCCATGAGGGGCATTCTACTGTTGTAGAATTTCATTATCATCATCAGCCTTTTAACGTCCCCTCTGCAGGGGCACAGGTCTCCTTTGTGGTTAAGGAGAATAGGCTGTGACCCTCCACACTGGCGCAACGCGGATTGGAGGATGTTAAAGGATGGATGGATGGATTGTAGGATGTTGTAAACAACGGCTAAACGTACTTTTCGAACACAGAGGAGCTCGAGTTATAAATTTTTGGTCACCCACCCTATGAGCGACCCTAAAGAAAGTTGCTTAACAAAAAAGATCGCGGCGCTTATCCACTACGCTACCGAGTCACACCAAAATGAATAATTATATTTATCCATAATTAAATTTATGAAAAACGCCTAAAAATGTAAAAAGTTTATATTGACAAACGTTAAAATCCGTCACGAAGTGTTTTTATCAGTATTTATAATGAGTTGCAGCCACGTTGCAATACTGTGTAACATATAGCCAAAGTGAAGAAAGAGTTGACTGTAGCTTCCGTTTGAACTACGAAACTTGTTCTTTGAAGCTTTGAAATTCAAATTCGCAAACGCATGCTTCATAATGTACTGCTTATCTGTATTCTCTTTGCATAGCACAGTGTCATATGAAATCCAGTATCCATTTT